GTTTCACAATCCCATTTTAAATACTATGGCTTTTGGCAGCCTGGTTTTGCATCATATGTGTTTTTCAGTAAAAGCCCCATTTTCCTACTTCCCCAACGTGTAATACGCGAAAAAAACTTTGTTAATAATAACAAAAAATTGTAATAGTAACCAGTGTATTTTATTATAAAGGATTTTCGTTTTTCTACTGCTCCGTACTTCGTGTGCTCCGTGCTCCGTGTGCTCCGTACTCCGTGTGCTCCGTGCTCCGTGTGCTCCGTGCTTCGTGCTCCGTGCTCCGTGTTTTACTAATAGCCGAAATAGTACCGTGTTTAAATAAAGTTGAAGTTGAAGTTGAATATATATGTATAAGAACTGGCTAAGAAACTACTAAATATTAGCATATGAATGCTGTTTTTCACGTTTATTAAGGATCTGGTGTGCAGGGCCGGATCGACTGGGGGGAGTCAGGAAGGGGCCCCCAATATTTTGAAAGGGGGCCCCCAAATGCTGGAATTTCCGAACGTGTGAAATTTTCCGGAATTTTGTGAAAACTTGAGGGCAATTTTGGTAAAGGTTAAACTGGCCTGAAAAATGTTTTTAACCCTTTTTCGCGAACAACGGTTCGGAAAAAATTTTGGGGGGACTCCCCCCCCCCAAAAAAAAAAGACACGGCCCTGCTGGTGTGACTTACAGTTGGCACGGCCGTGCTGGTGTGACTGAACAGTTGAATGCTGGCCCAGGTGGCCGTTTCTTGATTGTGACTGAAATATCACTGACTAGTTATTTTTATCATCAACGTTCGAGAGGAAAGAATTTGTTATTCCGACACACTTTATGAATTGTGTTCAAGTGTAAAGTGACAGAAAGTTGCGCGTCGCATTCATTACTCATTTAGAACTTTGTCACAAAAATTTTCCGAAACCTAAATCTATATGTATCATTTCGATTGTCGAATCATATGGAACTAAATTGTCCGACAGCGATGGTGTTGTCGGTGCTGTCGACGTCTACAAGGCGGTTTCGTTTACACTGTGTGACAGAAACGTTAATCAAAAGAAGTCTTATACTCTATATTTTAACACTGTTTAATTAACGAGACGAAAATTTGGGCTGTTTTCCATTACGGCCGCTTTGCCCTCGCGGGCGAAGCGATCTCCTTTGACCATCACTAGTGTTCTTTATAAAACTAAACTGCCTTTTAAAATGGCTTTATCGATAAACATCATAAACTTTGAGTTTGCAATAAAATGATTTCAAATTCTCGCTTGCAAATAACTTTCGCCTTTCTTTTCTATTTAAAAAATTCAATATCATAAAAAGGGAATCGTTGCAATATTAAAGATACACTGAAATTATATGCTGTCTTGTTTAGTTGTTTCATATACGCAAAGGCCGTCGGGTTTTAAAGCCATTATAAAATCAATATTTAAAACAAACTTACCTTCGTTAACGTCGGCTCCCTTCTTTTAGCCGATTCTTTCGCAGTTTCTTTCTGAGAGAGCTTTTGAAATTTACAAAATCTTGCAAAAATGCGAGCAAAAATGAAATATATTTGCAAGAAATTTATCAATCATCAAATCAGGAAATGTTTGCTATTTCGCTGTCGTCATGCAGTCGTTACAATGCAAACTCTAAATTGGACCAATCAGTGTCTGCTATTCATGACAGTCCGCCATATTTTTGAGATCAGTGAGGATGACCACCCACCTCAATATCGTTGGTCACCCACGCCCGCGATAATTGATGAACTTTAGACTTCGCTAATGCTTTCGTTTCCCCGGGTGTAAATAGCCGGGGGGAATTAGTACCCTCGCACGGCGCTTCGCGCCGTCGGCTCGGGGATAACAACATGGCATTAGCATACCGCCGTATGCTAATACCATTAGAGAGTTTACGATTCCACGACGCGGCTAGAGAAAACGCGTTAGAAAGGCTTGGTAACTAACGCGGCCAAAGCGTCTTGTGTAATTCCAACGCGTAGTCCACGATTCTACGACGGAATTTTGTCAATTTCACGTTGTGATCACTACGCTGTGAATTTTAAGTGAGCATCGAATACTTTTACATTGAAAACCTGAATTAAAGTTTTGAACTTTTTATTTTTGACGAAATAGTACCATTTCCAGGGCATTTTTTAACTATATAAGTCAAAGTCCCTTTTCTCCCCCCCCCCCAGTCAAAGTCCCTTTTCTCTAAAATATAAGCACAACATGGAATTTAGAAGGGAGGTTTGATATTCTAGTAACTGAAATTTGCTTTGTGAATCTTATGTCCTGTCTTTTATCTTTAATGCTAAACATTGTGTTGTAAATACCTTATTAGATTTTACACATTTTCCAGTGGATGGCATATCCCAGACCCTATAGATTTGAGTTGTTGGAAGGGTCGGCTAAACACGTTAGTGACCGCAGGGGGCAACGGGCCCCCAACCCAGTTTTTATAAGGGGGGGGGGGAATAATTTTGGCCCCCATAAAAAAACCCAATTGATTTCGAAACTAGAAGTATTTGAAATCGTATATATATATAATCAAATACATGTAATTGATATTTTGATAACAACATTTCTCGTGATAATTCGTCCTGACTCGCGGATAGCATAGACTCACAAATCATAATGAACGAATTAATGAAAGGGCCTAACAAAAGAGGTAGAGAAGACTTTGAAAATGCCATTTCCGACAATTTAGAGACGCAAACTAAAATTTTTCCGCTGTTCCAACCATGGTGGCGCTTCGTGGGAGTTGGGCCCTCTGAGTTTATCAAGCTGGCTCCTTGAGTGACGGCCAAGTTGTGGTATAGACTACATAAACATACTATGCAAGTATTTAACAGAAGGTTCAGTCTGTCTACAGCATAATGTAATGTTGTATATCCAAAAATCTGTTTCAGAAAATGCAGGGAATTGCAGCCATAGGGGTAGAAAAATACAAATATTTTCTGGGTGAGAATACCCCCAGACCCCACCCCCCTCCCTACTTTAAATGCGATATCACACCAAACTTTTTGTTACCAACAAACCATCTATCATTTCTCTACGCTCGGTATAGTATGGTCCCTTTTTGTAGATGGCCCCCCACTGACGAATTCTTAAAAAATGCCCTGTACATTTCCTGTGGTGTTCGGACAAAAATTACAACGATTTTGAAAAACCTATAACTTTCCCAGCAAAATAAACGTTTTACACTAGCGCGTTGTGTTTCGTAACGTAGGGAACAGAATAAGATGACGCGGCTTGGGCCGCGCCGGTTACCAAGCCTTTCTAACGCGTCTTCTCTCGCCGCGTCCGTGAATCGTAAACTCTCTAATGTCATGGCGCGGACATCATGATATTTCAAATCCCACAGGTACAGCATAGGTGCCTCAGTGACGTGCCTACACTGACAATTAGACAGATTTAGATCGAGGACGCGGACCGTCAAAGACGACGTGAAAATGACGTGTTGTGCCCATGTATGGATTGGATATGCCACGCCATTGTGACGCCATTTTCACGTCGTCTTTGACGTCCGCGTCCTCGATCTAAATCTGTCTAATATTTTAGCTTAGCTAGATTCCTGTCAATTGCATTTTTAGCATATACTGTATGCACAAACAGACCATGCTCAATGGAAATTTTTTTAATGTCAACCTGGGGAAAAACACTAAGATGTCGACCTGCAGTTTTAGTTTCCTTCTTCGAATAATATGCGGACATTTTATGATATTTAATTCAATGCGAATGCGAACAGAATTTGTCCACGCAGCAATAATTTGCTTTTGGTCAGCTTTATAGGTAGCAATTAGCGTATATTCACTGATCCAACTAATCAGATTTTAGAGTTTAACGACAACAAATTTGCGTAACTGAATATAAGCCCTTTCCGTCCTTACATGCAGGTCAACTAATGCAAATACACCCTTTCGATAATTACGTCACAACTACACCGTTTTCAACTTAGGACCACCTTAAATGGAAAGGATTTCAAGTTTTTTTTCTCATGGGCTATGCACAGAGAAGCAGAACATCCTTCTTCAACACATGCATGAAAAAGAATTCTTTATTTTGACCAATAAATGTGGAAATAAGCTTTAACACGAAAACGAGGCTCCAGGTCTCGTTTTCGTGTTGATGCATATTTCCATATTTATTGATCAAAATCCAAATTTTTTTTCGCGTATGTGTTGAAGAAGGATGTTCTGCTTCTCCGCAGATGCTTACATGATGTTTCTAGTGAGGGAAAAGTGAGCGCGCAAGGAGTGATGGGAATCGCTAAATAAAGGAAGCCTCAAGGAAGTCTCTGCTAGTTAATGCAATCAATATGGTGTCGTATATAATCGTTTGGAGTTCGGTTCGATCAACCATCGTGGGTGTTAAAACATGTTTTCCACTTTCCTTTTCAGGCGTACTTGAGTCTCCTGGAATGAATCCAATATCAATATCTTCTTCTGTCCATTTGCACCGAAAAATATTGAGAAATTGCAAATGAATATAAATGATAAGAGCTATCTATTAAATTATAAATATCCTCTAAATTGCAACATTTCTTTATAAAAATGACTCTACTGAACTTCGACACTCAGATTATGAAGATTTATTTCAATTTCTTCCACATTTCCGTCGATTTCAAGTTTAAAAAAGGTCAAACAACTAGTTTGGTTAAAAAACCATACTCGTTGATTATCTGGCAGAACCTTCCCGTCTTCATTTCAATCTTCCCATCACACCGTGCGCGCTCACTTTTATTCAGGAAACTTCATGTAAGCTATTTGTAAATACTTAAGGAGGCTCTGCGGAGGAGAGAGCTGCTTCTCTGAAAAAAACTTGAAATCGTCGGCCCTAAGTTGAAAACAGTGTAGTTGTGACGTAATTATCGAAAGGGTGTATTGACTCGCTCACTAGGTAATTGGGATAATAATGAGACTATAATCATTATGTACTGACGAAATATTAGCTTGTACTGTAGACAATGCAGTGTTGTGTACACTGTGTTCCGTGCAACTGATTTATACTACGATATACTACACAGTGAGTCACAGTTTATTGTGTTTATTTATATTCCGATCACTCTTCATGCGGTACATTCAGGTCACTCTTCATGCAGTACAGCATTATTGACAATACTATTTACAGCATGTATAGCAGTACATCTCTACAGTATTCCTGCTGTTACACTTTCAGTAATTATTTCTTTATTTCACAACAAAATTTAAAAATAAGACTATACACATACAGTATATACCAATAATACCATGAAGCAGATATCCTCAAGACAAGTCATCATCATCAAACAGGTCACCAAATGCTGTTGGAAGAAAAAACTACTGTAAGTACACTTTACCAAGCGTTGTACCAAGTGTGCTCTATAATTGACAAAATATCATTAATGACAAATAAAAGCTCACCATTAAAGAAATCTCCATGAACTGCTCTTTCACTTGCTGCCAATTCAACCATCATATTTGATGAACAAGCCTTTAAAACAAATAATTAAATTAATAATTGCTGTATAAATAATACTGTATAAATAGTACTGTTACAGTACAAACTTTAGATAGAACATGTTTTTAACGCTATCCTAGCCTGATAACAGACCTATGTTTCAACGCCGATACTATACATGAAAGAAAAGTGTTGCATATGATTTGATATGTGAATATTTAATGATATTTGAGATAACAAAGAAGGGGGGAGAAATTGGGGAAATGGGACGGTCTTAATGGATTGTCTACCATGCATAGTATCCCAGTGTTAAATATTATTTGCTTTATGGCCATTGCTGCTATTAAAGATGCAGTACAATTTCTTCACACATGTCAGCTTTGTTTACATTTTTGTATCCAAAAGAAGTAAATGACATAACAATAGCATATATTTCCCTGCTTCTACTGCAATAAAATAAATTATCAAGGTGATCAGGTTGGATAATTACTGTAAACACTGGTCCAGCAAATCATATAGTCTATAAGGACATACACTGTAAGACAGTATTCTGACATAAGACAGTATTCTGACATAAGACAGTATTCTGACATAAGGCAGACCTGACAGGAAAATTTCAGAATTGCATGTGTGCCCAAATACTTTTAAAATTTAATGACTTTATATATAGTAAATAATCAATATATACACAAAGAATATATAACATGTTATTGGCATGATACTCCTTTTAAATGGGATACCAACAGATATGACATGGGCAGTCACAGTGGTGTAGTGGAGGGGGGCTCAAGGGGGCTTGTTAAAATTTCATGTCGACTTGGGGGGGGGGGGGGCTCAGCCCCCCCATAATTTTTGCATGTTGCATAATCGTAAACGAGAATGTTCTTTAGAATTGCATCTACAAAATTTGGTACAGAAACCTTGAATTACATACCCTTTTGAGACGCTCTGAATATTTTATATTATTTAATAATTTACTACTATGGCAATTGCCTTTTAACAAGCATAATTTTGAATGTTTGTCCCACAATTATTACAAACAACCCCAACAAAATTTAGAATTTCCAAAATATCATATTGTAAACACCCCCGCCAGTTCAGGATACTTTTGGAGAACAGGGACGTGATCTACCCGGGTTGTGTGTGTGTGTGGGGGGGGGGGGAAGGGTGTGATACCCCAGTCTCTATCTCATCAAGTCATCGGGTGTACCCATACAATTTAGTCGGGCACATTTTAAAAATATTTGAGTGTCTCAGATTGAAAAATAATAGTGGTAGGCGGTGATTTTACAAATTACGGTAAATTATTTCGAAGGTTAGTGAAAAATGCTCCACTCACCAACAATTTTGGGAAAAGAAATATTAATTTGCAACTGATCAAATGTTTGTCCATCAGGAACAACTTCGGAAACGCCCTTTTGGTTGGGCAAAACAAGCTCCCCCCAGCCGTAATACCGAAGTTTCGCCCCTGTTGGAGAGCCCCCCTTGTTAACATTCCAGGACTACACCACTGGGCAGTCACCAGCTGGTTTACCAATTAATGTAATTACATAATCATGCTATGAGGGATCAGCATGCTTTTCGCTATCTGTGAGTAAGACCAACAAGAGTGGCATACAAGACTAATACTTGGAAATTTTTCTTAGAACATCACCCTGTAGGCCTGCATCTCTTTTTTGCTATATTTTTATGTCTGCTGTTTTAAGATATTAAGAATGCACATGACCTTTTAGGCAAATTAGGACATTGTCATTGGGACTTAGGGCCTGTTCACATGAGCCTGGTTGGCCAATATGACTGTTTTTATCCCAGATCTATTAATAAATATTACATTTTATTTCTACTTTGTAATGGTGCTGTTCAATACTAGCTGTTAATTAATATACATAAAAACACGTCCATCCTGGTCAGGTGGGATAAAAGCCTTGATATGGAAAATTTTATCCCTCGATCAGGTTGAAAGCAGCAATAACCGCTAGCACTATCGTGCAATGGCATCCAATTATAAGTTAACAACCAACCAACCAACCAAAACAAGGGTGGATTTTCATTTATTTAAAAGGAGGGGTAGAAAAATTTCTGGTGGGGTGCAAGCAGTACCACTCAGTGAGCTTCGGAAAGGGTTAGGCATTTGGGTTAAAGCCTTATACACAAAATAGGAGGGGTGAAGCGAAATTTTGGTGGGGTAGAACACTTTATTAGAGGGGTTAGAGAGATTCTAGGGGGGGGGTAACCCCCCCCCCCCCCCCCAGTAAATCTGCCCATGAATCAAAACACACATGATAACTTTTAAATTGAACTAATCAGAGAACTTTTTGCGTAATCATCCAATCAGGAGAAGATCAAGTCAGAATCTGAACCTAGTTTACACTGGCACAGTGTAATCAATCAATTGCCGCTTTCAAGCAGAGGTTTATTTTCACTTCACTATTTCTAACATTACAATGAAAATAAACCTCTGGAACCAGGTATGAAAGGTCCATTGATCATCAATTTCAAAATGTCAATTGATTAATTTTAATATCAATTGATATCGATTGACATCAATTTCATGATTTAATTCTGTAGGTATGCGGTGTTCAAATAGTACCACACCTCATCCATGTCCATTAAACCAGCATCAACTCCTTCAGGAAACATCTCATCTTGAACAGGAACTCCTGTGGGTTTCATTTTTCACTGAATTATATTATTTGAAATACACAAACAACTTCTACCTGTAAAATAATTAAGATTTATTACACTACTTATCATCCCCGAGAATCACCGAGGACATTTCACGACGAATCCCGAAATCTCCTATTAACACAGACGAGGTTGCAGCAACGAAATTGGCTCTTGTAGTTGTATGTGCAGATTTTTTCTCTATAAGATATAAAAATACATGTTATATATCTTATATGTTATAGAGCAATTATTATTTCATTAACGGAGACTTGAAATACTTGTGTTCATCTGATATTTTGTTGTAAAATTGACAGTTTGAAGAGCTACTTTTGAACGATGACTTTTTATCAGTTGAAATGATTTTACGAAGACTCTTTTCCATCATTTACTTTATTCACTGATTGGCTTCGTATTTTGTCCAACCTAGACCTCTGAGGAACGAAACAGCATGTGTTTATAGATATATTTAATATAAAGAGAAATGACTGTGTATAACATATATATATTCAACCGTGAAGGTACTTGTCTGTATTATTATGAATGGAATAGAAGGACTGACTGTAATATGCCAAAATATGAGGTAAATATGCTATAAAACCTATATATGAACGTGGTTTAGTGTGAGCAATGCCAGCCCCTATTTCCCTACCTGTCCAATTGCATCTAACCATGTCCATATTCATTAAATTCATGTTTTTATCTATTAAAACCCAACCAGCCCGCCTTGAAAACTTCATGTGTTCCAAGATTAGAAATATTCATGTTGCCAGGCCTAGAAAATATATTTCTCTTCCTGGCAAAGACAAATACAAAACCTGCATATATAGATTCCAGAGAACATTTGGTGCCGCACATTCTGATAAACCTCACTCTCGGCGCAAGACAATCTCGACTTGCAAAACGCTTTTGTAAACAATAAGTAAATTATATGGCATTCCAGTATATAAGATGATAACTAAAGAATTCCCTGTAAAATGTAAGAAAATTTCCTGGCAGCGGTGCTACTAGCATTGCCGGACATTTTCCAGTTGTGCATGTTGCCAGGATTTAATTAATGAAAATTCTGCAAAGTTCGACTCCGCACGTACCTATAGGTGGGTAAACATTGTTTTCTGATTTTGTGGCTGAAATGTGCATGTGTTTGCCTGCCAATATATGCATACATGTACATATGCTTTTTTGATTGTTTTAGAATGCTTGAGTTGTGCTTTTATGTCTCAAGACTATACAAAATTACATACTGGCAAGCACATTTACATAAAATTTGTAAATAAACTTTACCCATCTATTATATACCCACCCAAAACATCAATTTGATGTTTTGCATATGTGTGGCTACATGAACATGGATGTGGCCCCTAACTCAATGCAATCAATGTTATGATTGGAATATTAGATTACTGTGATGTGTGCAAATGAGGCCTTACTTATTATTTTGTTAAAACATCAAATTTAGGTGAGCATAGAGAATGGTATGATCTACCATCAGGGTGCATCCTGTGTAAGGTGTATGCCGAACATGCACCAAAGGGTGCACTTGTGCCCACTGCACCCATGGTTATGATGGTTCCAACATCCCTGATCACTTTGTTATGCCAACTGAAGTGATGTCCTAGCTCATGCTGGAGATTCTGTGATTGTTCATCAAAAGGTGAAAGCAATAGTACACGGTATTTTATCATTTAACACTTGACTCATTCCTTTTAGGAATTCAAATTGCTACATGGCATGCTGTTTTCTATCAAGTCATTTGTTACTAGATTGTCTCCAATTGATGGGTATGATGAATCAATTATGTTAATATTATTTATATGGGTTATCTCCTCTGTACCGTACTTGCCTGGTTTATTGACATCTGTAAATTTATATACAGTATTATACAACATACCATGAATAAGTTTATGACTGACAAGAATATGACTTGCAAACAAACCCTGTGCAGTATGACTGACATATGTTTATTAATAATTATTTTCTTAATTGTCAAACTGAAAGTTGTATTCAGGGGACTGGGTTTGAGATCTTACAATAAATTTCTATCCTTGCCAGAGTATTTTTAACAACAAGGTTTTCGACTGTAGATGTGTACCCCTCTTGTATAATACCCCCAGTACAATAAGCCCCTGAATGAGGCATAATTACATGCAGTTTATTACACTAGTACGTCAGCAGATTTTAAAGGAGTTTGTTTCATCAGTTTCATAAAATTTACATTGTAAATGTGAATTAGTGAAAATAATTTTGATGATTGATTGGAATTTGCTTTTTCTTTTTATTTTTATTTAGGAAGAATTCATTTATAAGTTATCGTACAAATAAATACAAGTTACATTTTTATGAAACACCAACTGGTCTGAAGTTTGTTATGAATACAGATCTTGCAGTTGAAAATATTCAAGACACGCTTCATGATATTTACAACAAGGTGGTCTTATTTTTACATAAAACTGGTGTTTTGTGCCAATTGGAAAACTAATGCGACTAGTGTACAATACAATTAATAGACGAACATTTTTCCTGTAATTTCACAACTTTGGTTTTATACATATCATGACTAAGTTGTAGTACCATTGTAATGGATGAGTTCAACAAGGTTTCATGTTTGAAGTTTTCAATTGAAATTTCATGTCACATATCACTTCAGGTTCCCACACCACCATTTCATTGCTCTGAATTTACAGTATATCCTTTTTTAGCACCTCTCCCCCAAGCTGTTGATATGGTTTGCTTGAGACCTCGTCAGACCATACTGCAATAGCAGAGAAATACAGCACAGTAAATTAAGTAATCAGAGAAGAAAGTCGAAACTAACAATATTTTCCTTTACGTGCAATTGAACTTTTACCAAACATAATGGAGAAAATATACTGTAATGTAATATTTTTAATATGTTAATTTATTTTTTTGTTTAATTGTGTTATTTAGATATATGTGGAATACATTGTGAAGAATCCTCTATGCAAGCTAAACGAACCAATTCAGAGTTCACTGTTTAGAACTAAATTAGATGAACATGTAAAGTCTTTGCCATTTTACTAAATCTCTCCTCAGATGCAATAATTTGAACTGAATGCCACATGTGCATGAATGATGCGAATGTATCTGTATCATGATTTTACAAGGGACATGTGATATATTTTAGGCTAATTTTTGCTACAGGGAAAGAAAGCATATTTGGTAATTGGTCTCATGTGTATATAACTGTAAATGCAGGCCATCAAGGGTAAAAGCTATATCTGGTAAAATACGGCATTACAAGCCATAAAATTTTGAGTAATGTCACAGCTGATCCCAAATGAACATACATGTAAGCTTATAGTTTCCTAACAGTATTTTCAGACATTTCCAACAATGTTGCATTTAACAATGTAGGTGATGATGTTAGGCCAAGATGTTGGACTGGTTTAAATGGACTTTTGTGTCTGCAGGAAAATACCATCACCATTGTCATTACCGATACAGATCAAATACTTTCATGTGGACAGTTTTTCTTGTGTTTACTGCACTAAGACGGGTGGGTGGTCCATCTCTAGTTTCCATGTGTCGTAATTAAATATTGGCCGTATCCGGGGGCAGCCAACATACTATACTATTTGTTATTGTCCTATTGGCGGACAGCTACTTTGATTGACAGATAGATTGGCGCAATATTAATATTGGCAACGCCTATAAAACGCCTATTCTTAATTACTCGCTATTTTTACCTCGCATTGTGATTGGCTTTCGCTTAAAATAAACAACTGTGGGCGTAATACAAAATAGTGTAGTATGTTGACGGGCCGTATTTCTAGCCACTCCGTATAAGCTCTGCCCCCAAATACGGCCAAAGCCCGCTGGCTAAATTAAATCCGGTTATTCACTTACTCTACAATATTGTATAATTCTATAGAGGGGTCTCTTCACGAAATCACGAAGATCATTTTTAGATTTCACGAGTCACGAAAAACAAAATTTCATTTTCACGATTTTTAGAAACACAGAAGCGTATAAACAAAGTCTGAAACTATTTAACGATTTTCTAGACAGCAGAAATCGATGTTAACACAAACACATTTTACTGACTTTAACATTAGAGGTTTTAAAGGACTATCAACCATTGCAAGGCATTACGAAACATTACGAGCGTCTTACGATGGTTCACGAAGTCTACGAAGAGGTACGAAGGTACACGAGAACGACGTTTACGATGAAACGAAGAAACCTAAAGAAAGACAACCGCGGGAATCATTTTTTTAACGTTAATATTAAATTTGGGTCGAGTTTTAAACGTAAACATTCACAATTTAGGGTAAAATATTGGAAAATTCAAGACCCTAGCTAGCCCTTTTAGCTCTTCACGATTCACGGCACGCATATTAATCACGATTCACGGAATGTTATTTCTTCGAATCACGAAGCACGAATAATTGCCAATCACGGGTCACGAAAATACCCTTGCCCCCTCTCTACACTATATTTAATTAATAAAAATTATGAAAACTAAATAATTAAATAAACTTCTATCCAGTTTTTGGAGTGCAGTATCTTAACTTAAGCAACAGTTTTTTGGAGTGCAGCATCCAACATATGACATACATGCAGTATAAATATACTCCAAAAAGAATTATTTTGTGAGCGCAAGACTGATATGAGTTGTTGAAAACAAACCGAAAAATTACACAATGATGATAATGTAAAAATGCATTAAGACTAGTGTTGAAGTGTACAACATTGTATTTGGTCTCAAAAAAGACAAAATAGAGAAACATTAATAGTTAGTAAAAAACTGAGAAGTAATAAAAACAGAAGCAACTGTGCATTTTAGCACGACGCAATTTATGACGAATAGCCTGTTGGATCCCCCCTTCCCCGTCACATTGATTCTGCCCCTGGAAAAGGTAGCCTCAACCATTGGCGCTGAAATGCAGAAAATGGCATTCCTGGGTCCCGAAATTTTCAAAATTTCGTTACCCAACCAAAACATGAGATTACATGATTGTACAAAATCAATCTGCACTGATTTTGTGGCGCAGTAGGAATTAAATATTCACGCCTTGGTCGTGTAGTTTCTGCGATTTTTCCTGCACGACTTCACCTTACGCGCTTTTGTCAAATGTGTAATGGTCACTAGTCTGACGATGGAATATTTTTATGATCAGGTTTATTCGTGAATAAACACTGAGTAAAGTTTTACATACGACACTTTATATACGACACTTTATATACGACACTTGATTCCGTTTCAGGTTCAAATCCGGTAAGCATGATATTAGTCTAGTGTCTAGACCCCGGAATACAGTTTAGAAACAGATCATTTTTTATTTTGTTTCTATTACAGATTTAACTCAAACAGATCATTTTGTATGAGTTGTGTCCCTAACTAATAAACTAATGTTAGTTTGAAACGGCTACTAACGATAGGTACTGCAATAGAAATTCGATACTAGATAATACGCTATCAGCCCTTGGGTACAGAACGTGAGTAATCATGAACAAAAGCGATTAGATCTGAGAGAAAGAACACTCAATCTGAACTCAACTAGTAGAAAAGAAAATCGAAGAAAATCTTATTTGGAATTGAATTTGGCTTAAATCAACGAAAAGAAGTAGAGAGGAAACCAAAGTAAGATAGATTATGACTTATTTTCTGGTTGAACTTGATTATTTGTACTGAAGTATTGAACAGATGCTAGTGTCACGATATATTCGTTACATATTAATTTCATAGCTAAATTTAGGCTTATACTTAGTATAGTTTAATTTATTTGTTTCTATTTAGTTCGAACTCGCACGATCGATGAACTATTGTAACCGTACAATCTCGAATTAAAGTCTATAGTGTATAGTCTTGTCTATTGTCTTCAAATCAGCGAAGTTCGAAACTCCTCAACCTCACGCAACCTGAAATAAAAGCCATCAACCCCCTGTAGGCCCAAACAAATCACAAAATCTAAAATCAAGCCTACAACTAAGGCATAACTCGTAAGATAGTTTGGGATGATAACATAATATAAACCAAGTCATGCATGTACTTATTAGGGAGCTTGAGCATGTAGGACGGCAATACGACGACGACGGCCAAAACAAATTCCTTCAAATAAATGATAGTAAAGAAAACTTGTCGTATATTATAATTCGTATGAATTTAATGCAGTATAAGAAGCCGAAAACATTGGCTTTATTTAATACAGTATAAGAAGCTGAAAACATTGGCTTTATAAAAGACGTGAAAATCTGTGATTTGCCGTTATAAACAGAGCGTAGGCGACCACGTCTGAAACTCCCCTGGGACTTTAATTATTTCTTTCTTTTCATTGACTCATGATCATTGTATTGGTTGCCGTCGTCCTCGTGTTGCCGTCCTACAGGCTTAAGCTCCCTATTATAAGAGGGGGGGGTGAATAGGTTTTCGGATCGTCGGATTCCGCCGACAAAAATTGTTCGGGTTTTGGATCTGGCGAATATTTTACGCCGTTCTTATTAATACAGCGGATTGCGGATGTATCTAAGATTTTGGCTCAGATTGTGGATTTTGCTTGCAAGTTAGTTCGGATCCTGGATTGTGACTTCATAGTAGAGCTTTTAGCGGTACCTGGACATTTTGCCGAAAGACACTTTGCCGAAAGACTGACTTCGCCGAAAGACATTTTGCCGAACGGACATTTTGCCGACGGGCATTTCGTCGAACGGACATTTTGACGAGCGGACTTGTCGCCGAAAAGACATTTTGCCGAACGGACAATTTGCCGAAAATAGAGATGTTATATAATCATATGTTATATCGTCAAAATATTAAGCACCCAATATTAAGAGAAGATGTCCAACGAAGAGGGGTTTTGTATGAGGAGAGACTGGACCTTTTACTAAATTATAACGCCGAAGGACAACCTCCACAGCAACAAAAACAGAGCTCCACTAACAGCCATTGTTCCCATTCGAACCTCATAAACATACCATTGCTGGCTCCAGCAACCATTTACAGTCCTACAAATTCTGATACCACAAAACCCGATTTAAATGTCCGCTTATTAAGGAATATTGCACACCTTACCGAGGTCAAGGAATTGGTCAATCTTCACAAAATTGATATTTTTACAATTTCCGAAACATGGCTTAACTCCACAGTGACTAATAGTGAAATTGCCATTGAAGACTATAAAATATATAGACTTGACCGGTTACATAAAAGAGGGGGAGGCGTATGCGCCTATATTAAGAAAAATCTTAAAGCATCTGTCCTGAAGGAACTATCGCAAATATCAGAATCAAGCTTTCATCAACTTTGGATAAATATCCAAAGTAAAAAGAATAGATCCATTATTATTTGCGTAACATATCGACCACCAGACTGTGCTCTAAACTGTTTTGATGACCATTTTAAGCCGAATTATATCCAAGTCTTAACTACCCGTATGAATCAACCGATTTTCGTACTTGGAGATTTAAACTGCAACGTGCTCCATGATGGACCGGACAGAAAAGCAATCGTAGAAGTCTCCACAGAGCGAAACCTCCAACAAATCATTAAAAAACCGACAAGAATTACTGATACAACACAATCACTTATCGATGTAATTCTCGTTTCGAACACAGCGTCTGTAGGCGAAAGTGGTGTGTTAAATTCTGCAATTTGCAACCACCTTCGATCCAGTAGATATGTCATACTTAAAGTGAAAGCTCCAAAGATACCACCAAATTATATTACAGCAAGAAGCTACAAGTATTACGACCCCTTACACTTTTCCTCCAACCTCGCGGTTAAATCAGATGATCTTTTGTCAATTTTCTCAGACACAGACGTTAACACACAATTGGAAACGTTCAAAAATACTCTTCATTCAACTCTTGATGTACATGCACCAGTAAAAATATTCAAAGTTTGAAATCGATCAAACCCATTTATCTCACGTGAAATAAAAGAACATATGAAATCTAGAGATAAACTTCACCGCTGATTCCTGCAAACACAAGATAAAAAAGATTGGGAAGCCTATAAAGAATCTCGAAATAACGTAAAGGACAAGCAACTATCTTTCTGATGAAGTTGCAGCACATAAAAACAACTCAGGCTCTCTCTGGAAGATAGCTAATAATATTATCCCATCAAAAGAAAAAGAGAACCAAGTATATATTAAAGATCTTAAGATACTTGTAGAAGAGTTTAATCAGTACTTTACATCCGTGGGGAGAAATACTGCTGTAATGGCACAAATCTTGCCAAAGAAAATAACATCATATACTCTCAAATCCGCTCTTAAATTCAGTAACTTATCCATTAGAACAACAGTTCAGGCTAGCCTGCGTGGCAGGCTCAAGGAATAAAGAGAGCCTGCAACAATCTCAAGGAAATTTGGTATTTCGGGGCCGTGAGCGGACTCAAAAATCCTATTGGTTGAAATCATAATGTATGCCAAAATCAGTACGCATCAATCATTGTGGCGCGGCTATCAGTAAAACACGGAGCACACGGAGTACGGAGCACATGCACGGAGCACGGAGCACACGGAGCACGGAGCACACGAAGTACGGAGCAGTAGAAAAACGAAAATCCTTTATAATAAAATATACTGTTTACTATTACAAATTTTTGTTCTTATTAATTTAATAAAGTTTTTTCGCGTTTTACACGTTGGGGAAGTAGAAAAATGGGGCTTTTACTGCACATATGATGCAAAACTGCCAAAAGCCATAGTATTTAAAATAGGATTGTGCCTGTGAAACTCGTTATCTTACATATATCAAGCTTATGTAGTTATATTATATTCCGATGGCCAACGCATAAAGAAACACTTAGAGAACAGCTGATATACTTCGAATTTCGTTACCCCTGCCAAAAAATAGCCAAGTACTCATCTTTCAATGTAGCGGATCGACTGAACATTAAAGCTTGTCATGGAGAGAAGTGAATTTTCGGTTTATCCTTCGGCTAAGTGACCAGTTGTGGAAGCCGGTGCTGTACGGCCTACGTTTAAACCGTTATATACAGTACATCATTACTGCTTTCATTCTTTCAATCCGTTTTGAATATTCGGAATCATTCACAATATTATAAAACTGTACGATAGCTGAGAACTATAAATGCTGTAGAATAAAATAAATAAAGAAGGAAAGTTTTATGGCGGTATTTGCCGATAAATCGGTAATCGCTACAGAAAAACAGAACAAATTACAGTAAATCACAACCGTACCCTGGTACCAGAGAATAATAAAAATAAACCTCTGGAACCAGGGTAAACAAACCGCGGAAGTGGGACAATTTTTGTAACGTAGAACATGTACGAAATCCATACAGAAGTGTGTGTGTATTCTATACTTTTGAAACAACCAAATCAGACTTCGGAAAATTTGACAGTATTAAAGCTGCTTTTGAGAATTTAGATTTTAGGTCTTCGTTTTACTTGTACCCAGTAAATATTTTTGAGTTTTGAATTTTGATTCTCACAAGCTTACAATTTGTTTACAATTTACTCTGCCTCTGGCTCTGCCGTGCTGCACGGCAGAGTTGATCGGAATTGTAACAAATACGCGTACACTTACACCCGTTTTCAAAATTACGCGACCAAGGACGAAAATGCTAGAGTTGACATGTCAGTTTTATGTCATTCGGTCACGAAGTTTAAATTTGAGTTTTGCGGTTCCTTGTCGATGTATATGCTTTGTATGCTTTATATAAACAGGCTTACAATAACTTTCAAGATATTTTAGTGAGAATTATTGCAAAATTTAATTAAGCACAACAAAATCATAACATCACCGTTATAGTCTAGCGCGCGTGTTTTATACTGACAGCTAAATTCCAGGATAAATTGTTATTTTTCAAACTTTAAAAGTTATTCACGGCACATATTTCTGTTGTGATATGGTTTGTATTGTGCTTTAGTTTGTATATCTAAGTTATCTAACTCATTTTTGTTCAGTTTTGGTATTAAATACGGTTTAAAATGTCTTTTGACAGTTTGTTTACGTTTGCTATTTTTAGCGGTTTTTGTGACATAAAACTGACATTCGAAGTAAGAGTATTTTTCAGGTAGGTCGCGTAATTTTGTAAACGGGTGTAAGTGGCTTCCTGAATTTAGTCAATCATGCAGATGCGTTATTACTCGTTTCAATTTCATGTTTATGCTCCAAACCGCTCATGTTTACAATAGCAATTCTAACAATCTTGCCCTCCTTTTCGCCTTTGAGGCGTTGGTGTTGATTCATACACAAAATTCAAAACTCAAAAATATTTACTGGTCTGGGTAAATGTAAAACGAAGACCTATAAATCTAAATTCTCAAAAGCGGGAAACGACAAAACGCGGACCCCAGGTCCATGGACTACCTTCGTGGACCTGGTCCGTGGACTACCTTCGTGGACCACTCTCGTGGACCACTCTCGTGGACCACTCTCGTGGACCACTCTCGTGGACCACTCTCGTGGACCACTCTCATGGACCACTTGCGAGACACCAGATTTTTGGGGTTTGAATTCTTGACTGCAGTGCATGCAAAAATGTGCTCGAGTCGAGTTCAGTCATTATTATCATTGTGGAAACTTTACACAAAATGTGAAGTTCTAAATCCATTCACTACATGACCGTTCTAAAATATAAGTGTGCAATTACGACTTTAATGCAAAGTTTCCGAATATATGCCCTTAAAATTGGTAGTTTTTTCTCGATCGCTACAGGAAATGCAAGAAAAGCAGTAATCGAGCTTCAAAAATTAATATTTTTGGGAGAGGACCTTCAGGCATTGAAAGGTCATTGCAACTTACGACTTCTACAGTTCAAGTGATTTTTTAACAGTAAAATTCGAATAATTCAGTAAAATCCTTTGACCGCCACCCTCCCCCCCTCCCCCCCTCCCCTCCAGATTCTCCACAGTATTCCTATATTTTTTAATGGAACCCTGACTACATTTTTTCAGCATTTTTACAGACTTAGTATTCACTGTTCATCAACAAAAACTGAATTGATTGTGAGATAAATAATGGAAATGAATAATGAAATAGTTCCCGCCAATCTCGGCTCCCTAAACTCGGAATAATAGTGCTTGGTCTATTGTTCGGTAGGCGAAATTTCGCAAGTGGTCCACGAGAGTGGTCCACGGGAGTGGTCCACGGGAGTGGTCCACGAGTGTAGTCCATGGACCAGGTCCACGAAGGTAGTCCATGGACCTGGGGTCCGCGTTTTGTCGTTTCCCCTCAAAAGCAGCTTTAATACGGTCAAATTTTCTGAAGTCTGATTTAGTTGTTTCAAAAGTATAGAATACACACACACTTCTGTATGGATTTCGTACATGTTCTACATGTCTTACAGTAAAATACAAAAATTGTCCCACTTCCGCGGTTTGTTGTGATTTACTGTAATTTGTTCTGTTTTTCTGTACTGAGCGATTACCGATTTATCGGCAAATACCGCGATAAAACTTACTTTTCTTTATTTATTTTATTCTACAGCATTTATAGTTCTACAGCTATCTTATACAGTTTTATAATATTGTGAATGATTCCGAACATTCTATATTCAAAACGGATTGAAAGAATGAAAGCAGTAATGATGTACTGTATAACGGTTTAAATTTAGCCGGCCGTACAGCTCACTGCCACTGGTCACTGAGCCGAAGGATAAACCGAAAATTCTCTTTTCTCATCACAAGATTTAATGTTCAGTCGATCCGCTACATTGAAAGATGTGAGTAAACTTGGCTATTTTTTGGCAGGGGTAACGAAATATATCGGCTGTCAGTCTAAGTGTTTTCTCTGAAGTGTTTCTTTATGCGTTGCCGTTGGCATTAATAATATAATATAATATAGAGAGTAAATTATAAACATAACTACATAACTCATAAGCTTGATAGATGTAAGATAACGAGTTTCACAATCCTATTTTAAATACAACTATGGCTTTTGGCAGTTTTGCATATGTGTTTTTTAAAAGCCCAATTTTCTTACTTCCCCAACGTGTAAAACGCGAAAAAACTTTATTAATACGAACAAAAATTTGTAATTGAAAAAGTAAACAGTGTATTTTATTATAAAGGATTTTCGTTTTTCTACTGCTCCGTACTCCGTGTGCTCCGTGCTCCGTGTGCTCCGTGCTCCGTGTTTTACTAATAGCCTTGTGGCGCAATGTTTATACGCTATCAATAAAAGCGTATATTAGCGTAAAATTTTGAAAGAGTGCTGTGAATTTGGGTTGTAAACTAAAAACTGAACAGCTGGAAATCGTGGATATGTTTTGGCAGGTTTTCTCATTGGATATCTGCCTTGACAAATGACAAGTCGAAGAGCATGGATACAAACCCATGCACGTGTTGATATTTCTCTAAATATACAGTAGCTATACCCGATCAATTTGAAAATACTGATTTTGACAAATTATGTATCCTATTAAATACATGTCGCTTTATGTATTTATGAAACTTATGTATCGATCAATTCGAAACTTCACCATCCCCCCTCCCCCCGGGCATACCCCGGGAATTTGACTTCAAGTCTTCTCCAGAGAGTAGGGAATTTGACGTTCTAGGTCTTCTATGTGGTGGGGCATTTGATAACGTGGTGGGGCATTTGATAACGGGGTGGGGAATTTGAACCGGAAGTCTTAAAATTTTGCCCGTTTCGCGTGCTTCCTGCATGCACAGAAAATACTTCGCATTGGTGGCAAATACAGTTTTCTCAGATTTCGAGGGAAACGGCCTCAATTTTGTGAAATTAAAAACTGGCTCAAAGAAACGGGCATGGAAAATCTATGTGTTTCATTTGAAGGTATGTACTACATAATTGTGTAAAACTGTTAAATTTCCACAAGGTATCCAAACTTTTTACGTGAATTTCGCTATCTTGTCGAAAAACATTTCCGTATATTTTGTACTTTTTGTATTTACTGATTCATAATTTTCATATCAAGGTGGGGCATTTGAACGCTTAATTTCTTGTTACAGTGGGGCATTTGAAGACATATTTTGCACAGGGGGTGGAGAATTTGATCAGTCAAAATTCAAAAAGTTCAAATTCCCGGGGGGGATGGTTAAGTTTCGAATTGATCGAACATTACTACTCGATCTACAAACGTTGCTTTTATCGGTTTTTATGAGCTTTACAGCAGACTACAAACTACAGACACAGTGCATGCAATTTAGCTTGTATTGTGATATATTTTTATAGTTTAAGAGTTTGTTATTGTCAATTTGTAAACGTTTATACTGTTCAGCCGTGAGCCGTTGCAATTTTATTAATATTAATTAATGGTTTATTATAAAAATCGTCGCGCTCGATGAAAGCGAATTGCGAAATTATTTACAAACTTTAGTTAAAAGTATTAAAAAGTACCTTGTGTTACTGGCATTATATTACAACAATAGTTTACTGATCTATGAATTAATATCGAAAGAACTTTTAAATTTACAAAATTTACAAAATTTATAAATTATGTGATTGAATACACATAGTAGGAAAAAAGCTTTTCTTAAAGCGCTCCGTCTTACAAGGAAACAGTGTTAATCTATTTCCGTACCTTAAATTACAATTGTGTCCATTGGCCCGAGAAGGTGGTATTAAATGGTTAAGGCGTGAATCAGGCTGTCTGATTTTGTCAAAAGTTTTTATGCACAAACCATCACGTCTTGCGCGTAATGTCGAACATTTAGCTTGGTCCAGAGCAGCGTCATAGCTTAATGTGGGTAGATTATTCGCATTGTGCGCTTCTGGACCCGTTCAATTTTATCTGACAAGTTAATGGTCAATGATGAATGCCATACCGGACAGCAGTACTCAAGCAGGGATCTAATAAGTGCAAAATGTACTCGTAGTAAATGAAACGGTGAAACTCCACTGCGCTTGAGAACTCGTAAGATGTGGAGTCTTTTTGATGCTTTGGTTACTATCTCACTGATATGCAAATCCCACTTCAGATTATTCTGGATCGTTAAACCTAATACTTTGTGGGATTCTATTCTTTCAAGACTAATGGTTTCAACAACTAAGGTGGGTGGTGGCTGCTCAATATCTCGTCGAAAGGAGACAATCATCTCTTTACACTTTTTGGGGTTCAATTTCATATTATTGGTACTTGTCCAATTACCAATTGCGTCCAATTCGTTTTGTAGTATAGATACCTCCCTTGTTGGAACAATCTTAGATATCGTCACGTCGTCTACGTACTTCCAATTACTGGAACGCGGGGATACTATTTTCAAATCATTAATCATTATGACAAAAAGTATTGGACCCAATTTAGTACCCTGTGGGACCGCAGCACTAGTTGAAGCCATCGGGACACGCACTGTCCTAGCTTAACACACTGGCGGCGATTTGAAAGGAAGCTACAAATCCAAGGGATTATTGAACGGCGCACTCCCAAATCGATCAATTTTGTTATAACAATATTGTGGTCTATTCTATCGAAAGCTTTGCTAAAGTCCAGAAAGCAAGCTCTAAGGTAATGACCTGGGTTGTCCATTTTAGAAAGCCAGTTGTGGATAAGATCTAGAAGGCAAAGGGTGGTAGATGTTCCCTTCAGGCTGCCATACTGACGATTATCGATTTGTCCACCTATGTCCTCAACCATCCAACTAACCACAAAGTCTTCGAGTACTTTCGATAACACAGGGGTAAGTGCGATGGGGCGGGTATCGCTCTCAACCTGGGT